TCTGATATTCTAGAAACTCCTGTTTCCAAAACAGCCTGCTAACAGCACAAGGCCCTTTCCCTGCGCTTTGCCCAGCAGATCCGGCCCCAGAAGCTTGACAACCAGTCAGTCAAGGAATGCTAAGGAAGTTAGCTGACCTCTCTGGAAGTAGCACAGTCTGCCTTTGTCTTTGAAAAGCAAGGTGCCAAGACAGGGCTCCGCAAATGTTTAGTGAGTGGGGCGAACGTAAGCACTGCCTGCTCCCCAGGTTCAGACGGCCTCTTTGCAATGGGGACCTAGGAGCCCCTTGGAGAAATCTGTCAGCAGACTGGAGAGCCATGGGAAGGGACCTGTCACACAACCAGAGTCTGGACAGCGTGGGCTGGAAAAAGGGAAAATTAATAGTAGGCACCACATGTGTAAGACCAGATTTATTCACGAGGATAAGAGGGATACTTTGCAGATCTCTGGAAATAATTGTCAGTGGCTGGGGAGGCTCTTACACAAGACTGGGGCAAGAGGCAATAAAATTCCAGTGGAGGCCTGGCCTTTATGACCCGGGAAAAGATAAGACACATGGAGATTTTCTTTGGTACACTTCCTCTCACTTCTCCACCTCCAGCAAACTCTCAGTGGAGACCCAAAACTGAAAAACATTTCTTCAAAGGTGTGTGACTATCTTCAGCAAAGATCAGGAACTCCCAGCTGCACAGAGCTGCAAACCACTCTCCCTCCTTCAGCCCTGATGCATTCTACTTTGAAGTGGGAGTAGACGGAGGATGTCCTGTGAGACTGCGTGGCTCCTGGGAAAGAGACAGCAGATCAGCTCCTTGTGTGCAGCAAGTTGGCTGTCTCCGGTGCCTCCTATTCTCCAGCCAGTCCCAGGCAGTCCAGGAAGACCCAAAACCTCAGGTGGTCCTAGAGCACCATGGAGACCCTCAAGGATGCCTCTGGAGTGCAGCTGCCCAGACCAGCCATTTGCTCCTTAGGAGTATTGACAGCACATTCTTCTGTCTTGCCTTTCAGCTGAAGAGCTGAATTTCAGCTGCTCCACCAAGGGCTATTTTCTGGCTTGCAAGTCCTTGTCCAGTCTGAATATGCAGAAGGAGCCAGGAATACAAGTGCATTGAGGCAGTTCCAATGAGGCCATGTGCCCCAGCTCTGCAAAATCCCATCTGGTTTTATTTTGCAGAGTCCAAGGAAGGCCCATTTTTGTGTAACTAGGGAGCATTTGGGAGAGTCAGCTCATAGCTTACAAATACCAGGGCTCCAGGGTGGAGTCACATTTGACTGGCACCATGGGGTTCCTGACACAGGGGACACTGCCCTGACTATTCCAGCCTGCTTGGTAACTGGATTAGTATTGCCAGCGGGGCTTGGCCAGACCCCCAATTCTCCAACCAACTGGTGATTTCCTAGTCAAGAGCTCAGAAAAGGAACCGGTCTGTTCCCTCAAGGCCTGCTAAGCTCTGAAATTGCCAAACAAGAACTCGGGTATCTCTTTATCCCAGAGTCTCTCTGTGAGTCCCAGGGGTTCTAGGTTATTCTTTGACTTCACCAACACACATGTGTGTACTCATGGGGACTGTGTTAAGTAAAAGTAAATTTTTTCCTTTCGGTATCCTTTATTGAGTATGGTTGTCCTTTTCAATAGTCTTTGCCAATAATAAACCTAGTATTCGCATATATAAGAAATAAGATAAGTTCTGTATCTTTTAAAGCATTTGGTTGACATATAATAGGAAAGAAGGGGTTTGAGTCAATGGTGAGACAAATGCTTTTTCTTCATGGACCACAGAGCAAACAAGGAGCCAAAGACCTGGGAACGGCAAGGTTCCCCGGGCTCAGGGAGGAGCCATCAGGATGGGCTAAGAGCATTTTGATTCCACTATCTGGCTGGACTTGCTGAAGACAGGCTGTTCTATAAAAATATGCAGCAGTCATGAAGAATGCGTCCCTGTTTTTGTCTGACTTAGGGCACCAGCTTAATTAAATGCAGAATAAAAGCAAAAATGCAGGATAGGCATCCATTGTTAGGCAGCTTTTGTTCCTCAGCCTCGCTGGGAGAGCCCTTAGGCCAGAGCCAAGTCCTATGAGGACACAGTGTCTCTGTGATCCAGCCTCGGGATGATGGCCCACTCTGAGAGGACCACTTTGCATAGAGGCCAATCTATGCAACCTCTGTGGTCTCACTAGGCCATGCATATCTTGCATCACCCCCCTGAATTCTAGGAGCACCCCAGCTAATTCTCTGAGGAAGGCCTGTCTCAGAAACTGTACCTGGAGGGATTAGGTTGGTTCTCTCTCCCAAGCTTTGGTTTATTTTTCTAAGCAACATGCTTTGGAAATAAATACCTGGAATAAAGAGTAGAATGACGAGGAGACCAGATAGCAAAGTTCCTCAAAATATTGGGGAGTGGTGGTGCACGCCTGTAACCCCCCCATTCAGGAGACTGAGGCAGGAGGGTCCTTAAGAATTTAAGACCAGCCTGGGTTACAAAGTGAGCTCAAAGCCAGCCTGAACTGCATAGCAAGACCCTGCCCCCCAACACCAAATGTTGGTAAGAGGTTTGCAACTTGTACTCACTGCTCAGGGTCTGTGCTACATGGTCCATGCGTGACAAGGAAATGGCCTTTTTTCTCTCACCTGGGCAGGTTGAAGTTGGCTAGTTTCACTACAAGAACATTTCTGTTCATCCCCACCAGGAATGTCATGCATTCCAGAAGATGCCTGAGCTAGGAGGGTGCCTTGGCAGCTTATTGGTGGGGCAATCTGTGTGGACCCGTGGTTCTCCATCTCTACTTCTCCATCAGTGATGGGCCTGGGGCTGATTCCTCTTCAAGCCCCTCTGATGCCCTGCAGGTATCCAGTGCTGATCACTTGTGAAGCGAGGCCACGGCAATGGTGAACTCACACTTTAGGAGTTCTTTGGCAGTTGTTGTGAGGCTACAAGATGTCCTCTGTGTTCAGGAAAGGAGTTGAGGGAGGACATTCTTAGGGAATCTGACCGAACTCTCATAGAATGGAGGCCAGCGTTTGGCTGCTTCTTGAGGCCAGTTTGCTGGCTTTCAGGGCCCACAGACCACTGGGAAATCCTGGCCAGTTCTTGATGACCCTGGTGGCAGTGGGGAAGCAAGTGCCTCCAGTGGTGCCAGCTAGATGTCAGATGCTCCAAAGTTGGCAGCATTGTGCACCTTGCTTATATTGGCAGGTTTGGTTTCTCCATGGATCCACTACCAGCCTGTAACCGAAGCCCTTTCAAATTCACCCTCAGTAAGTGCCAATGCCAGCCCTTCCCAGGCTCTGGTTTCTACAGGTCCAGGTGGAGAGACCTCCCCAAACTTCTCAAAACAACCTACACCTAGCGAATGGCCGCACTGCCTAGCATTCTGCTCCTTCAGTCTTTTCTTTTTTTTTTTTTTTACTGGTACCAGGGATCGAACTCACGACCACACACTTACAAGGCAGGCACTTATGCCACTGAGCTAAATCCCCAGCCCCTGCTCCCTCAGTCTTGTCCTCTATCTCTTGCAGGTTGATTACCTCAATGGTCACCGCCTTCTCTACGTAACTGCTAACTTCCCAGACACCTTTCTCAATCTGACCAGAAGAGTTCTCAGGATTCACCTGTGACTATTCGGCAGGCAAATTCCCTGCACACAGCCAACTCCTCTCACTGTTGATAAAGCACTTTTCGTAACTCCAGAAAGCACTTTGATTCCTCCTCTGATGCCCAACATTAGGCGCAACACAGCCTAAAATGTGCAGACGGGATCAAGAGGAGTCGGGTGGTGTGGCAACACATCGAGTCCTTGCACCAGCCACTGGTCCAGGACTGTGCATGGTGGATTTTGTAATTCAGTCCCACATGCACTGAATGAATGCTCTCCCAGCACACAGACAAGCAGCAGATTTTATTTTCTGTGAGGGTTGATCTTGGCTTCCCGTTCATAGCCTTGGACAAGCTGAGTAACAGTGAAAGTCAACTCTTTCTCTTTCCTTAGCTGAAAATGATGGACAGAGAGGAGGAAGGACTGAACTTTGCCAGCAGATCTACTTGCTCTAACAAGGGCGAATATCCTTAGTCTTTGAAAGGACGGGAAGGTGGCCACCGTCATGATACAGCAGAGACACCTGTGCCCAAGAAGCCCATTGGTCCAGAGTGCCACTACTCTTCAGAGCTAGCATCTGCTGTGTAGATCAAGCAGAGGCTGTGGCCCCAGGTCCCAAGCTGAGGACCTATCGGCACCCCCAGGTAAAGGCAAGTTCCTATACTTGCTGGTGATGGGCATCTGTCATCTTCAGCTTGTTTTTTCGGAAGTGAGCCCCTGGGGCCCTGAAGAGTTCTGGTGAGTGAAAAACTATGGCTCCCACTAGAGGGCCTGTGACCCCTGAGACAGCTAGTGGGCAGCCTGCCGAGCTAGTCCATCCTAAGAGTCCACCTCTGCGCCTCGCAGAACTTCCCTGCTTGGTGTGGCCCCAGCCTGTTCAGCTGCGCACCCAGGTGAGGCGCCACACCCCTACCCCAGGCCCCCAGGAGTAACGAGCAGGCCTCTTTTCTGCGGGGCAGACGTGAGCGTCAGAGCCTGCCTTGCTGAGCCAACAGGCGGCTGGAGCCATACGAAGCGCATTAACTATTAATAATTTCCAGTTGTTTGCTTGTTCCCCGAGGCCTCTGCAGGCTGGGACTGGCTCCCCTGGACTGTCAGCTCTGGAGACATTAGCGCCTGCCGAGATCCACTGGGGAGGGGAAAGGGGTCACCGCGACCCCCGGGCCCGGGCTCGAGAGGGGCTTCCACCTCCGCTCGTGGCGAGGTGGGGGGCAGACCCGGCCGGGAGTCTGGCCCGCCCGCCGCGCGGATCGCATTGTGCCCCTAGCGCGCGGCGATTGGCGCCCAGGGCGAGCGCGGCGCTGGCGGCGCACGGCTGGAGCGCAGCGGCCCCTGGCGCCCGGGTTGGCAGCGGGGCGGCGGGGGGCGGGGCCGGCGGGCGGGGCGGGGCGGGGGCGGGGCCGGGAGCTTGGCGGCCGGCGAGACCCGGGCCGCGCGCGGGCTGCGGGGCGGGGAGGGCGGTCCGCAGGGCAGCGGCCGGGCCCGCGTGTGCACCGTCGCTCGCTCGCGACCCCCGCGCCCGCTACCGCCGGCCTTGCTGGGCGCAGAGCCATGGTGGGCCGGCTGAGCCTGCAGGATGTCCCCGAGCTCGTGGACACGAAGAAGAAGGGAGACGGCGTCCTGGACAGCCCGGACTCGGGGTTGCCCCCCAGCCCCAGCCCCAGCCACTGGGGGCTCGCGGCGGCCGGGGGCAGCGCGGGTGGCGGCGGGGAGCGCGCTCCGCCTCCCGGCGCGCTGGAGCCCTACGCGGCGGCGACCCCCGCGGCCCCGGTGAGTGCCTCCCTTCTCCTTTCCTCCGCCCGCCCACGGCCGGTCGGGGAACCCCGGCGGTCGTGCTGCGTCGCCCGGGGCGCGCTGTCGGTGCCACCACCCGCCCGTGGAGACGGCGTGGCCTTCGCCGGCATCTCGGGGCGGGAGCTCCGCGAGAGCCTTGGCCAGCTGGAGCCGGTGGCTGGAAAATTGTCATCGCCTGGGAGGCGCGGGAGCCCTGGGAGAGACGAGTCGCGGTCTCCTCCCTTCGAGGTGGCGGTCCCCGGGGCTGCCAGGCTGCGGCTCCACCGCATTCCTTCCCAGGAGGGGCGGGGGCGGGTGGGGCTCGCGGGACAACACCGGGGAGCCTCAGCCTCCCCCTCCCCCTCCCCCTCTCGTGAACCCAACACCCTGCGGCTTTGCCCGTAGCTGGCAGCCCTCCCTAGGCCTGCCTCCTCCTGGAAGGTCCCGAGAAGGGGTGTGCTCTGGGCTCCCCGATTCAGAGCTAACAGGCCAGTCTTTGGGGGACCTTTGAGGCACCCCAAGATCCACATTCCAAGTGGTCACCCTTGTCTTGCACACCTAACCCAGTCCTGCGCTTAACAGATGAGAGGCCTTCTGATGATTGGAATTTTAAAAGTATTAATCTTTTTATTTTAAAGCTTAAAGAACAAAATCCACCAAGTCTGTTCATTGCCTTAGGAGTGGCTCAGATGTTGGTGTTTGTTACCTTTACTCAGAGCTCAGGAGAGGCCACATCCTGTCAAAGCTCAAAGGAGGATGGGCGGAAGTAGAGTTTAGGGGATGGGTAGAGCGCTACCCCTCCCCCTGAAGTAGCTGGTGTCAGTGCTGTGAGCCCAGGCTGGAACTTTGGTGTGCAAAGCCGCCTTGACCCACTGACCTAGTCTCTTGACTGGCATCCGTGGGTCTTGTCGGGAGGTGCTGGCTGCACCTTGGTCTTCAGAGCTTACTCTGTGATCCATTCTAAGCTTCATCTTCTACCTGCCCTGATTTGGGCTGGACACACAAACGGTGCCCTCCTACACTCCAGGAGCAGGTTGCCTCTTATCTCTCAACAAAGTCTCACTCACTCCTTTCCCTGGCCAACTCATCTGGGCACCTTTTCTGAGAAGCCTTCTGCTGCTTTTCAGAGCCTTGCCAGAGCCTGTGGCTTCCTCTCCATTCCCTGGGGATGTTTTGTGCAAGGTTCTATCACAGCCTCTCTTGTCCACCCCATTACCATGCCACACCTGGAGGCACAGGGAGGATTTGTCAGATGGTCAGGGATGAGGGAACAGAGAAGGTGGGACCAGGGGAGTGTGGGCAGAAGGCTGCTATGAGTGTTGGATTGCAGCCACCTCCTCACAGAGCCCCCCAGGGCTGCCTGGGAAGTGTCCCTGCTGTTGGAGGATCTCTGGCAGCCGTGGAGTTGGGGACAAGACCCACTGACCTTGGTTCGTACCCACTTCCTTTTTCCCAAGTGGGCTTCCTACCCAAAAGCCCAGGAGCTCAGTCCCTAGGACCCTCTGCCTCTCCCTGTTTTGGTCCCCTTAGGGTTTTGCGTTTTCATGCTGTGCCCCAAATCCACACCTTGTCTTGTTAACACAATACAGGTTTCCTGGCCAGTCTTCTCAAGCTGTTTGCCTCTTACCCAGTTTGGGTGTGGGATTACCACCTCCACATCCTAGCCCGAGTGAGAGCCTTTTCTCAAATTAGGCAAAGAAAATGACAGATCTCAGAAAACCAGGGAACACAAAAGAGTGCTGAGGTCAAACTCTGCCCTGTGCTTATCATGGTTTGTGTGGATCTTAGAAGCCAGGATTCCTACAGGAGGAACTGTCTCCTGATGAGCGCTCTGCCTAGGCGGAGCACCTGTGGCTTTATGGGGCTGGGGATGGCTACCCTCAGTAGGCTGTGTGCTTGTCAGCAGGTGCTGCGCCGCAGAGTTTTCTGCATAGTGGAGCAGAGGTGGACATCTCAGTGTTCCTCTTACCCAGGAGACTGAGTTGGGTGATTCAGGTCTTGCTTAGGTGTAGATATGCCCCAGAGGCGAAGGAGATGGAGGAGTGCACTGGATCTAATTTCAGACAACCCTGGGTGGCACTTTTTTGGTTTGTTTTTTCTACAGTGGCACAACCAGTGCCACATTATTGAGGGTTCTGGAGGGTTTGGTTCTAGTTCATTGAGGCTTTCTCACCATATTTCCGCTGTTGTGTGGTGGGCTCTGAGTCTGGTCACCATCCTGAAGTTGAGAATGGAGTCTGTTTCCTCTTTTCTGCTTTGCACAAAATTGTAGTGAGATTCAGCGCGCTGCTCCCTCAGTGTGCAGATGCAGTCACAGAACGTTGTAGTGTGACTCTTCTGAGGGTATAGAGTGCACCTGGGATTTGAACCCAGGCCTTCTGGCTCTCTGTCCAGTGCTCTTCTCATGTCGAGGGTCAGCCCTTCCCTGGTGTGCCCATGATGCAGGACGCAGATCACCAAGGGGAGCACATCCACCCAGCACCTTATAACCACCCTCTTCTCTGTCCTAGAAGAACCCAGCATTGCTCCCCAATGCCCTGTCTGCTGGCTGCTCACCGAGGCTTTGCCCCCTGTCCTTCGGAGAAGGAGTGGAGTTTGACCCCTTACCACCAAAGGAAGTAAGGTAAATACAGCAGGTCTGATTTTACTTCTAAAATTTTCACTAGAAGTGGTAGCTTATTATTTTAAAAATTAATTGTGAAAATACACCCAAGACTATAGTTAGTTAGGTACTCTTTCAGATTCCCCCCCTGCATTTTAACCAATTGAAAAAAATACATGCAGGGGCTGGGGATTAGCTCAGCGGCATAAGCACCTGCCTTCCAAGCAGGCGGTCGTGAGTTCGATCTTTGGTACCGATAAAAAGATAAAAAAGAAAAGAAAAGAAAAGAAAAAAATACATGCGCATTCTTTTTTTTTTTTTTTTTTTTTTAATCGTGAGACAGGGTCTTACTATGTAGCCCAGGCTAGCCTTGAACTTGTGATCTCCCTGCCTCAGTCTCCTGAGTGCTGGGATTGGCATAATAGGCATACATAAATACTCTTTTTAAAAAGTGAAAATGAGACCATGTGATATGTTAAGTACTGTACCTTTATGTACTTTAAATATCAGACACTGTTTTTTTTTTTTGAGTATCAGGATTGGAACTGACAACCTTGCGCTTGTCAAGCAGGTGCTGTGCCGCTGAGCTATATCCCTGGCCCAGATACTACAATTTTTTTCGAATATTGATTCTTCTTTCCAGGTGCTCCCTACCCACTCCCCTCTTCAAGGTGTTATTACCTTGTTTCGTGTTTCCCTGTCACAGGACAAGTTCTTGTCTCTCTCTGAGAATGATCTCATTCAGGAGTATCCAGGAGCAAAGATTCACTGAGAGGCTCCATTAAAGCTGTGTCTTTTTAAAGAAAGGAATTGTAATTTTAGTAACTGGGGGTTTTGTAGCTAGAGTTTCAGTAGCATTGACACAAAGGGCCCTTTGATGTGTAACAAAGAGAGGTTTATGGGTTTAGAGGTGAGCAGTTTTGCCTTTTATTCCTATAGAGCTTGTATTTCTAACAAAACAAGGATGTGTCCTGATAACATTAGTTGACACCAGTTTTCACCTGCCCTGGGGAGCAGACATTCCCACCCGACTCCCAGCACAGAATGCTGGTGCTTACCTGGCCAGGGGTGGCAGCTGTTAGCCCTGTGAACTACAGTCATAAGGTAGCAAAGTGCTTCTTTGAACACTCAAATCACCAAAGGTTTTAAAAAATAAAGTAACTGAAGAACATCAATGATAACTTATTTTATGGAAATCAAGATTATAGTGGGCTTTCAGTAATACAGGTCAGGTTCCCGAGTCCCTGGGTTTAGGAGAAGGCCAAACCGAATGCCAGAGTAGACCAAACTTGAGCCCTTGGGATGGCCAAGCTTCCAGAGTTGACTCTCAGGATTTCTGGGCTTCTTCCTCCTTTCATTCAAGTGCTGCTCGGTCACCAGAGAGAGCAGAGGAGAAGCCACTTCATTCTACAGTACTGTTACCTGTCGCTTAGTGGCAGCCACATTCAGAGAAAATGTGTGACTGTGGTTACTGTGTGTTGACGTTCTGCTCCATTAGCCTGAGCCATACTTTACAGAAAGAGAAAACAGGCTCAGTCAGGTGAAGCCAGCTGATTAAGGGCCCTCGCTTAGGTGAGTGGGAGCAGAATCCTGGGGCCGCAGGCGGCAGTGAGAAATGAGTGCAGGGCAAGCTTGGGAATCCTGCCACCCTGCATTTAAGCCCCAGCTCATGCCGGGGCAGGGTGCTGGGTTCCATTCCCAGCATCACATATGAATAAACCCTGCTTTGCCACTTAGTGGCACCGTGACTTCTGTCTCTGCGACTCGCTTTCCTCTCAGCAGTGTTGAAAAGGCTGAATTTGACTCGAGGATAAAGCACTTAGAATGGTTGCCCCTGGCACAGAGTAAGTCCCGCCCCTCTGTCCTGCTTTTCACTGGCACAGCCATAGTTCAGTTTTTACAGCCCCTAGCGACTCAGTTGCAGTCACCTGTACCCCTCCCATGTGCCCCCCCGTCTGAGAAGGGGGTTCATTCTGCTTGATGTCGCCCCAGGTACACCTCCTCGGTCAAGTACGACTCCGAGCGCCACTTCATTGACGATGTGCAGCTGCCCCTGGGCCTGTCGGTGACCTCCTGCAGCCAGACGGTCATCTGCATCCCCGACTGCACGTGGCGCAGCTACAAGGCTGAGGTGCGCTTCGAGCCCCGCCACAAGCCCGCGCGCTTCCTCAGCACCACCATCGTCTACCCCAAGTACCCCAAGACCGTCTACACCACCACCCTGGATTACAACTGCCACAAGAAGAGGAGGAGGTTTCTGTCCAGCGTGGAGCTCGAGGCCACCGAGTGCCTGGGCAGCGACGGCCTCTCGGATGAATGCTGACTTGCGCAGGCTGGTTGGGCTTGGACCAGCCGTTGGCTCTCCATCCTGGTCCACAGACGACCTGTGTAGACCTCAAATGTCATCCCAGCCCTAGAGGAGATATCGCCGAGCCCAGTTTGGGGAAGAAGAAAAAAAAAAATCACCACATCTTGTAATTACTGAGATACTTTTGTTTTTAAATTTTCAAATTATCCTCGAGAGGAGTCTATTTCCTGGTTTGCTGCTGCGTTTCTGCAAGGTCTCCATAGGAAGAGAAAATAAAAAGATGACTACAGCAAAAAGAGAATGACAGAGGGACCCGGGAGTGGCAGTGGAGGTGAGCGCTCCTCCCGCTGTCCTGGATGTGAAGGATGGGTAGAACAGTCCCTGCCACGGGAAAAGTGGGCTGTAAAAAGTCTCAGTCACAGAAGTCTTCATGCTACAAGAGTGTTCACTGTGCAGTGACTTGTGTCACCCAGATGTGTTCAATCTGTGGAGAGTTGAGTTCCATTCCATTCTTATTTTTACTTCCATTTGTACTTCCTGTAACTAAAACTCTTGGAATTCCCTAGATCTTTTTCATGATAGCAAAAAACTCCAAACCATAATGCAAGATGCCTTTGGGGGTCGGGGGAAGCTCCCCGTGTCGCTGCCTACTTCGGATGGCCAGGTGGACCGATGGCTGCTTGGGAGCAGTGGCTTCCATCCCATCCCCAGCGGCCGGGCTCCAGGCGCGGACTCTGGCTTGGTCCTTGCACACTTGGCGTCTGATTAACATCTCTGTAGCCTGTGTAATTCTCTCAGTAGGTATTGTGAGCTTTCAAAGTATTTTCCACCTTTGTCATGAGGCAGAACGTAACGGTGGGCTCTTTTGAAAGAAACAGTGTTTTAAAAGAATGCTTTGGAGAAATACTTTCTGGGGCTCTTTATCAGGGAGGCTTCCACTCTGGACGGCCACACCTGTGTCCCATTGCCTTTGGGAAGAGCTGAAGGTAGATGCTTCTGGTGTCCCAGTCATCGTGATTAAGTATCTGGATGGACTTGTTTTTAGTACTTCGGCGTTGTTGAAATTATAGGAGAATTGGGTCTAATCCAGCGGGCCAAAAAACCCAAGCATTCTTGTCCCTGCCCCCCAGGTTAAGCCGAGTTCAGGACAGAAAACGGTGGCTCAGTTCAGCTGCCACACTTGGCCATTAGAGCAGTGGTGGACATTTCTTTTCGGCCACTGTCCCTGTGGAAGTGACCGTTGTGCAGCCAGATGTGAACAGAAGATGTCACTGAGGCAGCTGTGAGCGCAGCTGAGCTGGCGGCGGCGGCGGCAGTAGAGACTCCACTGCTGGGCAGGTGTGGACCAGGCTGCTCCCCGCTCACTGTCTGCCCCAGCCCCGGTCCTTGCTTCTTAGCACCTCCTGCCAATCCCTGTGGTGCCTGAGTAAAGAAAGTGGCAAGTAGACTTCTTTCAATATTTCCTTTGAAGACATCCACATGATGTCAGGCGATCCTGGGTTACAGAGTGTGGGAAGTCCAGCCTCCTGCTTTATCTCCAGGTTTCTGTGGATGGTTCCACCTGTCCTGAAATCAGAAGGGAAAGCTCTCTGGGTTCCCTGGAGCCATAGCAGGAGTTTTTGTGAGGCTGAAAGCAAGTGTGATCCTAATCACGCTCCTGTAGGGTCACGGGGGACCTGGAGAGACGCGTTGTCTGGTCCTTCTACAGACAGCAGCACTGTGTTCCCAGGGGACAGGAGGCATCTCTTTCAGTGCAGGTGGTTTGCCAGGGTGCATCTCAGTAGGCAGCCAGCAAGGGGGCCGCCCTGGGACCCTGTCATCTCCTGGGTCATGAGCAGAACGACAAGTACTGGCTGCCATTGGAAGAGTGAATTGTACAGATATATTAGTAAATGCAGATGCTTCTAATTGATTTCGTGATATTGTTATTAAGTGGTAAGAGTCATTTTTAAATTACATCGGGAGAATTCCAGAAGCATGGCTCTGCCCCCGTGGAGAGGCGCACCTGGGTGGGCTCAGGACACCACTGTGGGCAGTGTGGCAGGAGGAGAATGTGATGTCCCAGCACAGCAGCATTCGAGATGTCCGTGGGAGTTTGGGGGCTGTTATTTGTTTTATTTTGAATTTTTGTCTTAGACGGCTTATGTTAAAGTTCAGGCAAATCATTGTAGGTATGGAAAAAACCTAAGCTCTTTTCTCAGTAAAGTAAGTGGAAATGGGTGATGGCGAATGTGTCTGCAAATAGAAAAGCAGGTTTTACTCTGTTAAGTTATGCACTAGGGAGCCAGCCGCAGTCCTCTCGGGTCCTCTCTTTTCCTTCAAACATAGCTTGGCTGAAAGTCGCAGAAGTGGAAGGTGTGGAGATGGAATGGAACTCTCCTGTGAGGGTCAGATGTTGCCAGCCGATAGCGAGTTCTTGTAGTTTACAGGGTGGAAGTGGTGAATATGAAAACTCACTGACCCCAAACGAACATTCCCATGTATGCATGACATACAGTTTGTTAACTAAAAAGGTTTTTTCCTCTGTCTCTTAAATTATGCCTTTTGTGTAATAAAGATGATTTGTATTTTCAGAGAAAAATTGTTTCCTTTCAAATCATGGACTTCGACAAAGACTTAATTTGAATGAATATCTTTTCCTTTGACATTCTTCTTGTTTTTAATCTTAGGAAACCCAAAAGGGTATTGGAAAAAACTGTTTTATTGTCTTTTACCTCTGTCCTGTTCCATTTTGCTTTGTGACTTCTCATTTAACAATAAATTATCTAAAAAAACTGAGAGATGTTTCCCTTTTTTTAAAAGTAAGATGTGATATAACATTTAACAGTGTTATGTTTGCCAGTGTGAGATTTTTTTTTTTTGATATCAGGGACTGAACTCACCTTCCACTTGCCTGGCAGTTGCTTATGCTGCTGAGCTAAACCCCCTGCATATGGAATTTTAAGAGGATCTGTCCCAAGATTTTATATGTTTTTTTTTTTTTTCATCGGTACCAGGGATCGAACTCACGACCACACATTTGCAAGGCAGGCGCTTATGCCGCTGAGCTAAATCCCCAGCCCCTCGTATTCTTTCTTTAAATTTGTTTTCTCTCCCAGTGTGGCTGTTGTGCGGTTAGCTAAGTGCCTTCCCACTGGGCTGCACCCCAGCCCCACTCTTTCCCAGAATCGTCTCCCCGGAATTGCAGCTGAAACTGGACTCTCAGGCAGCACCTTCCACCTCTTTCAGGCTGAACTTCTCCGGCCTCACCGAAGTGTGTACCCCAGTCTACCCCACCCTTAATTTTATTGTGGGAAATGGCTCTGGGCTGGAAAACTGCAGGCAGGAAACAGGACACCACAGCCGGCTCCTGGATCCCCGAGGCTCCCTGCCTGTGGGCAGCTCCACGGAGGGCTGCTACGTGGCTGGATGGACGGAGGCAGTGGTGCAGCGGCCGGCTTGCTGTGTCCTCACAAAGTTGGCCCGGGAGTGATGACACTGTTTATTTCGTGCCGCCTCCCTCCTGCCCCCGAACTGGGGGCCTTGTCTGAGCTAAGCATGAGCACAATCGCTGAGCTATACCCACAGGCACCCAGTTTCTTCTTAATAGAAATTAGGTCTAATTTGGCTGATTGGGATAACAATGAGGGCTAATTTTGCCAATTTGTTTATATGGTATTCATTTTCCATAAAATGGACTGGCTAATCAGCAGTTCCAAGGTTTTAAAGGGAAAATATTTCTAGTGCATAGGAATAAAGCTGTCCTTAACGTGTCCGAAGTATATTGAAACAAATGTTTTCTTTTCTGCAGCCTTTCTGGGTATATCAGGTTAAGCTGGTGCCAAGAAAAAAAAAAGTAGGTATAACGGATGTAATAAATCTTAGAAAACCATTTTTGTGTACTCAGAATTCTAAGTAATGCATGGCTATTGTTTAGGTAACACATGGGCAAGAAATTCCTCTTTTCAAAATTCTGACCATTTTATTTGAGTAGTGACTAGTGGTTTGTTTTATCACTGTGTCACCAGGTGCTTTCTATGGAATACAAAGATTCTGTGGGGAGAGAAGCTTAGGGAAATGCAAAGCCACGCAAACTAAATCTGCTTTTGGAAGCTTCCTGGAACCCTGCATTAATCAACTTTCTCTGCACAATGAACTCCACAGAGTCTTGGTGCTGCACAGCAGAGAGCGTATGTTTCTTGCTTACAAATCTAGATCCGGTAGGGCTGTTCCACTGCAGGCCAGGTAATGGAATGCAGGGCTGTTCCACTTGGCTCCAGTTGGTTAGGGAGGTAGGCTGGGCACATTCTTCTCAGGACAGAGGTCAAAACCTCTTGGTGGAGCCATGAGAAATCCAAGACCACTTAAGGTCTGCACTAGGAGCTGGCACCCTGTGACTGCTACCCACATTCAGTTGGCCAAAGCAAGTTACATGGCCAGATCCAAATCCATGGGTCAGGAAGCTGTGCTTTCCCCATGGATGTGGGGAGGAACTCCCAGGAAGGATCGTTTTACAGACCCATTGTTTCACAGCACCTAAGAACATATCAAAGACTAATTTGGTGGTGGAGATGGGTTATGTACTTTTTAAAAATGTAGTTTTAAGAAATTCTAGTTTATATGGATAGCAGAGTCCAATCAGGAAAACAAACAAACAAAAACCCTACTAGATATTTAATGCAGACAGGGGAGCATGCACATGTCAGAGGGCTGAAGAGGCAACAGGGGACACTGAAGAAACCCAATATTAATAATTTCAAGAAGCAGGGGCTGGGGATTTAGCTCAGCGGCATAAGCGCCTGCCTTGCAAGCAGGCAGTTATGAGTTCGATCCCTGGAACCGATAAAAACGAAAAAGACCAAAAAAAAAAAAATAATAATAATTTCAAGAAGCAGCCAGGGCCGAGGCTGTGGCTTGGTAGTACAGTGCTTGCCTGGCATGTGTGAAAGCCTGGATTTGATAACCAGCACTGCCAAAATAACCGAAACCCCCTCAAACAGCGGCCCCACTCCTATGGCCCCTCTTTTGGCCATTTAGAGAAGCTAGAAACAGATGAGCAAATGAAGCTCAAAGAGGAGGGAACAAAATCATAAATAGAATACAGGAGCATAAATCCATAAAATAGAAGCAGGCTCAGGGGGTAGCCCAGCAGTAGAACACTTGCTGTTTGTCTGGGCTCTAGGTTCAGTCCCCCAGTATAGAAAGAAAAAAAAGGGAGAGAAATAATTATGAAAATCACAAAAACAAAATTTTGGTTGTTTAAAAAGCTTGAAAGAAATAAGCTTCAGCTTCATCAAGAAATAGAGCTAGCAAATATGGCGCACACCTGTAACCCCAGCACTTGGGAGGCTGAGGCAGGAGGATTGCGGAGAATTTGAGGACAGCCTGGGCTACATAGTGAGTTCAAAGCCAGCCTGGACTACAGAGTGAAACCCTGTCTCAAAAAGCCACAATAAATAAATAAATAGAACTAGTGTGTGTGAGACCCTCAGTTTCTTCCCATCACCACAAACACAAAAAATCCTATTTAGCCAGGCATGGTGGCACATATCTATAAACCTAGCACTCTGGGAGGCTGAGGGAGGAGGACCACAAGTGTAAGCCAGTCTGGGTAACTCAAGTGATTGAGTAAGACCTTGTCTCGAAAAAAACAGAAAACAACATATATATATATATATATATATATATATATGTATATATATATATGTATATATATACATACATACACACACACACACACACACACACACACACACACACACACACACACAAAGGTTCTGGGTTTAATCCCCAGTACCAGAAAAACAAGAAGAAAAACCTCTGGGCATGGTGGTACCTGCCTTTAATCCCAGCACTCAGGAGGCTGAGTCAGCAGGATCCCCATCCAAGGCCGCCCATTTTATTAAAGGCCCTAGCCAGAGGAAATGCAAAGAAAGAGGCAGAAAGACCGGAATGGAAAAAGTAAAACTGTTCGTACTCACAGGTGATAGGATTAGTTACATAAAAATCTTAAAAAACCAATAAATAATTTACCAGAACTGATCATTGAATGCATGAAGACCTCAGAATAGGATGCAAGTATATGAGAATCAGTTGTGTTTTTATGTACAAGTAACAAACAAAAAAGAAATAGAAAGCCAGGCACCTGTAATCCAAGCTACTCACGAGGCTTAGGCAGGAGGATCGCAAGCTCAAGGTCAGCCTGGGTAATTTAGCAAGATGGTGTCAAAACAGAGGAAAATGGCTGCCTCTGTGGCCCAGTGGCTCTGTGGCTGACTATGTAACTTGCCTGGCAGTATGAGAGCCTGGGCTCAGTTCAATCCCCAGTGTCACACACACCAAAAAAACTGTTGAAAATCTTAGAACTGGGTGTGGGTACATGAAGTTTCTGTGCTTACTTTTGTGTTGAGTCTACAGTGTTGCCTGTCAAGTGGGATTGGTTCCAGGACCCCTACCCCAAGGTGCCAAAATCCACAGATGTCCCTTATAATATTTGTCATCCTCCAGTGAATTTTATCATCACTAGATTACCTGAAATACTAATACATGTAATATCATGTAAACAGTAGTCTTATTGTATTATTATTATTATTATTATTATTATTATTACTTTTTTTGAGACAGGATCTTATGTTGTTCAGCCTGGCCTTGAACTCACTATGTACCCCAGGCTGGCCTTGAACTTGCAGTGATCCTCCCGTCTCAGCCTCCCAAATGCTGCGACTGTAGGTGTGCATCACCACCCCCGGTCCTATTATATGATTTAGGGACAAGACTATTACCCATTCAATAGAGATGTGTTTTTCCCCCTCAATACAATTTTTCAGTTAGCAGTTGGTTGAATTTATTAATATGGAGCCCATTTCAATTATGTTTGAAATTTTCCATCACAAAAACTTTTAGAAAGAATACACAGTATTTAACAATGTTCTTATCACACAACTAATACATGCTCCTTTTAAAAAATTAAGATAATACTGGGCTGGAAGTCTTACTCAGTGGTTGATGTTTGCCTGTCATGTACAAAGGGCAGGGGTCCATCCCTAACACCTAATAAAAAAACATGTTAGAAAGTACGCAAAATAAGACCCACTCACATTCTCCCCACAGATGGACTATCGGTAGCTTTTCGGTTTGTGGCAGCGATAAGGAACCCGTCCGAGGGATTCCAGTGCTTTTACCTGGTGGCACTAAAGCTAACTGTTCACCCTCACCCTGCAGTGGGTGCAGAAGCAGCAGTTAGGGCTGGGCGCAGAGGTTTCTGCTCTTCATGTTCACTGGCTTTTCAGAATAAGCTTGCAGGGGTCCTGGGTGTGTCAAAGCAGTTGTCGCTAATTACAAATTACCGCCCTCCTGGACTCCAGAAGGATTTTGTTTAGGTAATTAAGTGGGACAAATACAATTAACAGGATGTCCCCTCTGCCAGCACAGTGCCTTTCCAACCCGCCCACCGGGGTTCTTACAAAGCAAGGAAGGCTCCAAAAATGTTAGTTTAAATGAATTTTTCCGCTGCTTTTTTGGTGTTTGTTTGTGCACTCAGGAGTGGGGACTAGGGAAGCCTCCAGGAAAAGACACCAGGTGAAAGGATAAAGGCCAGAGAGTTCAGGGCGGGGTGACGGCACCGGAACCCAGACCAAGCTCAGCTGCCCTGCCTGAGAGCAGGCCGGCCTGAGGTCCCTTCTAGGCAAAGCCAATCGGAAGGCAGCCTGCACCACGGCATCTAGATGAAGGGTCTGAGCCTCAAAAGGAGGAATTGTTTTTCCTGGCACGAAGCTCTGAGAAGACTTTACCACCACCTGCAGCCATTTGAGGGCCACAAAATCAAAGATCCACAAATATTCCCCATGCCATTTCCGGTTTGGTTCTAGAAAAGTCAAGGAGAATATTCAAAATAGACAGGATCTACAGAGGATGGGTCCCTGCAGGCAGAGCCCGAGTGCCTGGGTGCAAATCCCACCTCATCACTGATCCACCACCCACGTGACCTGGGCCAGTCCTTACGCTCTAAAATAGGGACAGCAAGAGGTGTTTTTTTTGTTTTTTTGCCCTTGAGATCTGTGAGGATTAAATACACTGATGTGTGCAAAGGGTTTGGAAGAATACCTGGCATGAGTTCCAAGCCAAGCAAGTGTGTATTGTTTTAATTATCTCTCAGCTCCTAATTTCGCTTCCAAGAATGTATCCAAAGCACTGGAAACACTGCACTAAAATGTACATATAAGGCTATTTATTGCAGAATTGTTCAGAACAGCCAAGAAAACTAGAGATCAACTAAGTGTTCACAAACAGAGGATTGAATGATGAATTATTAGGCAAACTGTACAAAGTGTGGTACGGACCTCAATTTGGTGACTTGGGGAGGTGTCCAGGCCATCATTTTTAAAAGACTCACTAAGAATGGACGTGAGCTGTGACCTCTGTCACCCCACTGACCACCAGGGTTGATTCGGGCTATCTGGCTGGCCGGGGGTGTCCCCTTCCTCCCTTACCATTCCCCGTGTGCCCCTTCCAAAGCTGCACGTCTTCAGTGGAAGAGGACAGAGGACAACCACCCCGACAGAGGATAGAGGAGGACATTCCTGAGTCAGTGGCACACCAGGAGCTGCACTCCCCTGCTAGAACTCCAGACAAGCTCTCGAGAATCACTCAGGAGACAGCACACGCCCAATTACCCCACTCTTTTGGCTTTGTGTGGCCGTGTGTAGATATGTACATTAATAGAAAAGACTGAGAGGATGAATGCCATCTGATGAGGCTAGAGCTCTCTGACAGTGGGGTCAAGGGTTTTGATTTTCCCCCCAGGACTGAAGTTTGAACCCAAGAATGCTCTACCAACGGAACCACATTTGCTGCCATTTTTATTTTATTATTTTTTAAAAAGAGTTTACTCTTATTACATGTCTGGGGTACATGTTTACAGTACATAATGATTACAAGTCAGTGCAAGAAACTGGACCATATACACAATACATTTCCTTCCCCCCTTCACCATCTCCTTATTTTATATTTTCTTTTATTTATAATAAGTCATGCTGGCCTTGAATTTGAGATTCTCCTGTTCCAGTCCCTCAGGGAGCTGGGATTACAGGCCACCACGCCCAGACCTATCCGGATTTACAAAACATTGCTTTGCTTACCTGTGCTTTCTAGTTTACCTGTAATATGCATTTTGAAAGCTGAAGGCAGAACGCCATGCAGCTTCTGGTGGTCTAATTTAAGTGAGAGAAACCAGAGTTAAATGATTGCCCTGCACCTCCCTTAGCCCGGGGTGGAGAACTGGGAAGGGTCTCTGATTTTACGCTGTTTTCAGATTCACAGTCTGCCACAGGGTCACTGAGGTTGACTAAAGACACAGGACTCCTGGTTCACAGACAAAGGATGGTTTGTTAGTCATGGCGACAGGAGTGTGACATTTGGGGTTGGTCCTCCTGCTTTATTTCCTACAGCAGCATAATGCAGAGAGATTCCAGGTAACCCCCAAATACCACTGGGTGTGTTACAGAAAATTCTAGAATAAACAGCAAATCTGTCCTTGCCTCTGGAGGGAGATACTATCTCTTCAAAGCTGTTTGTCGTGCAACCACCCTTCAAGAGATAGTTTGGAACAAAGGTAGTCAGTGACTCTCTTCACAAGACACACAGAAACCTGAGCATTCCCTTTGTGGAATTGTTTCCCCCAATCAAAGCTTTTACATTTAATGTGCATTCCAATTAAGCTGTAGGTTTGGATTCAGCAGGAGAGTTTCTAACTAGTCCGTAGGTCAGGTCAGGTTTAGGACACCCTTCCTCAAGGCCAGGCAGAGCCTAGCGTGCTGGCCCGGGGTGCCGTGATGGAATGGGAACGGGGTAACACAGCAGCATCCTTTACAGCGATGGTAAGGGGCATCTGACACGAGGGTGACATAATACCTCCAAATAATCTAGATGACATGAAGGGAATATGACTCCCAATCTGCTAGATGTCTGATATGCCAGGTTCGTGTTTTCAGAAATCAAAGAATGAATTCAAGGAAGTATTTGTTAAAAGAAAGCTTCAGTCTAAGAGGGACAGAAAGGGATTCAGGAGGGTGCCCACCTTCTCAAGGGAGTTTTATAGAGTAAAATCATGAGGTGAGGCAGGTGGAAGGCAGGATGAAACTATAGTTAACCAATGAGATTATCAGTATAGTCGTCAGGTAACATTGAGCCAATGAAAAATCAAAAGATGAGGTGGGATAAAACTATAGTTCACCAATAAGATTACAAGCACAGTTGCTTAGATAATACTGATTAAAGGGGGGTCAAATGGGGAAGCAAGTCACATAGCAAGCGCACGTGGAACACACAAGGACCTTTCTGGAAGGAGTGGTATGGAGGTGATCGATAACTGTTTAGAATATCATTCACGCTTGACCATCCCTATGGGAAGGATATGGGTGTGGTCACCCCTCTTTGTCCCTTTTGACCTTCAACAAATGAACCTCCAGCTACAGTTTTCTGCACTGACCTCTAGAGACCCAATCCTGTCTGACTGCATGTAATATTTCTCCAGTAGGCACTGCTGGACACAAAAGCCACCAGGAGGCAGAAATACGGTACCTAGAGGAAGCTTCATGGGAGCTTACGCACCAGTGCTGTAGCATAAGGGGAAAATGCACCACCTTACCCAGACTGACCCAGCCACAGGCAGGGGGACGGGTGGGCGTCATGGGGACTGGAGGTGTACCTCAGTGACCTGACCGAGAAGGGCTGCAGAGGAGGAGTCATCCAGGGTTCCTGTGATAGGGCCATGACTGAAGCCTCATACAGTCAAAGCCTCCCTGAGTGCTGGGATTACAAGCGTGCACCGCCACACTCTGCTTGAGATTTTGATCTAAGGTCTCCCATGGTCTTTTCAGGAAAAAAAAAGTTTTTGTCTTTTTGGTGCTTGCTTTGTAGTTTAGGCTGGCCTTGAGCTCACTTTGTAGCCTAGGCTGGTCTCGAACTTGCAAGGTTCCTCCTGCTTCACCTTCCTGAGTGCTGGGATTACAGGAGTGCACCACCACACTGGGCTCCAGGAAATGTTTATCGAGCAACTACTAAATATCCAATTCTCTGCTAGTTGCTACCACCCTACTGCTAAGAGCAGTTTCCCTTGTGCACAAGGAGGCCTGCAGAGACTGGGCAAGGGACTTGTCGGGGTCACATGGGGACCAAGAGGGCAAACTGGAGCGTCAAACCCAGGTAAGGCTGGATCTGGACATCTTGCTCCCACCTACTGCGCTGGTGCCTTAGGTAAGCTCCTGGAGCAGGTGCTCACACACTCCTAAAACTCGACCAGGGAGTGAGGGAGACCAGGGCAGCTGGCCCAGGGCTTGCCTTTGGGTGTGCATATTGGTGGAATTGCGAGGAAGGGACCCATACTCCTCAAGAGGGGCTTTTTTTAAACCTGGAAATTAAACTGAGGGCCCTTGCACTGAGCTACATTCCAGACCCCAGTCACTTTCATTTTGAGACGGGACCTCGCTAGGGCCCTAAACTGCCCAGGCTGGGTTTGAACCAGCCACCCTTCTGTTTTAGCCTCTTCGCACTAAGCCTTGGCTGTAACATGGAGATAACTATGCAGGGAACACATGTGAAAGAATTTGTAGACATTAAAATGCCACTGAATATTACAATTATAATTAAGTGGGAGATAGCACAGAAAAAAATACATAGCAGGAAAGAAGTACAGAGTTAGGCACAGCGCTGAGAAAAACCATCCGTCTTTTCTCCTCCCCAGTTTTACTGATGTATAATTGACAAAAATAAGGAAGTTAAAGAGGCCCAGTCAATGTTACCATATTTAGCTCTTACTGAGCAATGACTTCCGCCCTGTAATATACATCAAGGCTTTTGGAAATACACTGAAATCCTCAAGCCAGAAGCAGTGGTGCCCTGCCTCTCTGTAATCCCAATTCCTCAGGAGGCTGAGACAGGAGGATCACAAGTTAAAATTCAGCCTGGGCAATTTAATGAGTACCAGTCTCAAAATTAAAAAAATAAAATAAATTAAAATATATAAAGGGCTGGGGTTCCCTGGGCTCAACTCCCTGTACTGGAGGGGAAAAAAATCCTTAGAGCATCAGCAAGGATGTCTGCAGTGCCTGGATGAACTACTACTTGCATGACAAGTTTGGATTTGGGGTTTTCCAGCCCTCAGATGAGGTGAAGCAGCTGTTTTACTGCATAGCCCATAATAAAGGAGGATGCCAGCCACTGTAGCTGGCTTCTTCTGTGGAACAAAATAGTCCCCGAATTTAGTGGCTTAAAACAAGTTTATTAAACCAGGCATGGTCCTGTGCATCTCAGGAGGCTGCAGTAGAAAGATCACTTGAGCCCAGAGTCGGAGGCCAGGCTAGGCCGTATAGTGAGACCATGTTTCAAAAACAAAATAAGAAAAGACAGCTAGGCGTGGTGGCTCAAGCCTGTAAACCCAGCACTCAGGAGGCTGAGGTGGGACGATCGTTGCGAGTTCGAGACCAGCCTGGGCTACAAAGTGAGCTCAAGGCCAGCCTGAACTGCATAGCGAGACCCTGTCTCAAAAAAGACAAAAAAACAAAACCAAAAAAACCCCAAACTGATTTATTATCACAGCTTCTGTGGGTCAGGTCCTGGTGCAGCCTGGCTGGCTGCCCTGGCTCCAGACTCTCCCAGGGCTGACACTGAAGCCCGCCCGGAGCTGCGGCATCTTAGGGCATCGCTGGCAGTGGACCTGCTCCTAGGGTCACCTGTGCAGCCGGCGGCAGGGCTGAGGTCCTTGCTACTGTTGACTAGAAACATCAGTTCCTGGCCACCTGGCGTCTCCTCAGGTGGCCTGCGACATGGAGCTGGCTTTCCCTGGAGCAAATGCTGAGATTCAGGGAGGGTCACATGGAAGCCACAGCACTCTCCAACTAGCACATTATTTTTTTCTTTGTAGCATTGGGGATTGAGCCCAGGGTTTTACGTATCAAAGCAAGCACTCTACCACCAAACTATATCCCCAATCCTTTCAAAAACAATTTTATTTTTTAAGACAAAGACTTGTTCTGTAGTCCAGGTTGGCCTTGAACTCATGGCTCAGCCTCCCAAGTGCTGGGATTATAGGATGTGCCTGGTTTAAAATTTTGTTTCGAAACAGTCTCTCTAAATTGTCTAAACTGGATTTGAATTTAGAATCATCCTGTCTCAGCCTCTCAAGTAGCTAGGATAACAGGTGTACACCACCATGTGCAACAATAATTTTTATCTGGGGGAGCAGTTTTAGATTGATAAAAAGTGAGTGGAGAGTACAAAGGTTTCCCACAAAACCCCATAACAAGCGACAGTTTCCCCTATTGTTAGCATCTTGATTATATGTAGTACTTTTGTTACAATTGATTACAGAATATTGAAACATTATTACTAACAATTTACAATTTACATTAGGGTTCACTCCTGGAGTTCTATTGAGTTTGAACAAACGTATAATATGTATCTATCAGTAGTATGAGTCACAGTAGTTTCGGAGCCCTAAAAATTCCCTATGTTCCACCTTTTGTTCCCAAACAACTCTTGGACTCAAGATTGCAAGATATTGTTTGTCTGTGGTGAATAGAATCCCTGGCATTGGCCAAGGGTCAGTAGTGCTACTGATAAGTGTGTAGTCCGTACAGATCACTTGAATGAGCATGCCAGGCAAGCCACTCCCATGACCCTTGATCAAACCTTTAAAAAAATGAATCATTCTTTGCACATGCCTGGAATCCCAGCACTTGGGAGTTTGAGGCAGGAAAATTGCAAGTTGGAGACTATCTTGGGCCACACAGTGGGACCCTGTCTCAAAAAAAACAAACAAATAAAAAAAAAAAAAAAACCCAGAAACAAGCAAAGGTCATTGCTCACCTGGAGGGCAACGAGCAAGGCTTTGTCTGCTGGGCACCACTGCAGGAGGTGCTCTGCATAGGTTCTGGGGGGATTCTATAAGGATTTCTTCAGATCATGCAGCCAATGGAGCTGCCCGGCCACAATAATCCTCTCTTTATGGCAAGAAGAGGACCACAAACCAGCCCTCAACACTATGGGAGAGTTTGCTAAATTCTCAAGGTACTCTGCATCCAGGGCATCCTCGGAGCCTCCGTGCAGCTCCCAGAGTGTCCCCGGTACCCACTGCCGTCGCTCTGGAAGGCATCTGAGGCGCCAGCTCAGCTGCCCCTTGCTCTGCCCTGCTTCAGGGTCCTTTCCAGGCCTGGATGCTGGCCATTCTCCAGGGCAGGAGGAGACTTCCCAAAGCCCCGTCAGGGGTTTGATCCCCAGAGCCAATAAAACAAAAAACAAGTGGTTTTGGGGGACTAAATATTATAGTTCAGGGTTAGCATGATATTCAGTGTCAACAAAAAACAAAACTTCCTTCAGGATATTTTGCCAGGGTTCAGTGGCAAATGTGGGAGGTCTGCACCTGGCCTTTCTGAGGAAGGGTCAGAGGAGAGCGAGCTGCCTGATAGCCAAGAGGCAACAGGGAAGAGGGGCTACTGTTACTTTGTTCCAGACAAACATTGTGCCAGTCTGTGCTGACTTTTAATTTCTCCCAGGCACAGTGTGTTCTGCCTACCCACGATATCTTAGCCCCTGGGAGCCAGGGACCTTCTCTCATACTCCACCCTGTCCCTCGAAGGTAACCATGCAACCCAGAGACCTCTCTACCCCTCTGGACCTTTCAGGGTGCATTTCTGTGCTGAGGGTGATTTCTCCCTCAGGTGAAGTGGGCACCCCGGCCTGCACAGGGTGGCAGGCTAGAAGTGCCAGGAAATAATCACCCTCGCCCGGGACACACCCTGGGGAGTGTCAGAACCCAGCCCCCATGCACATGCCTCCGGTGCCGCTGTCCTGAGATTCGGGCCTGAACTGTTTCCCAGGCATCCTGTGGGACTGAGCTCCAGCTGCCCAGCAGGAAGGGTGGCTTGATCCTTACCATCCTGTGACTGGCTCTCTCCCTCCTGCCCCCCCCCCCCCCCCCGTTTACCTCCCAAATAATCCCCTTGCCTATGAGTGCTTGTCCCAGGTCTACTTCTGGATGCAAACCAAGCTGACAAGGCCTCCCTCTCTCTGTGTGGAGAGGGAAATATAAATCCAGGATAAGCAGGATGGCCAGGCATCTCTAATGCTCCAGAACTTTGCTTAAAATGCCGCCTGAGGGATTAGGAGAGAACTATATTTATAAAAGTCCCCTTTGGACTTCCCATAATAACCTTCCAAGGATGAAGTTCTTGAACCTACTGATTTTAAAAGCCACATAAGGATAAATAGTGTCATTAAGAAAACATCTCCAGGATATTCAGGGCATTTTCTTGGGCCTAACAGATGCTTGCATTGTGTAAGCTGTATCCATGAAATTAGTTTCAGACTTAGAATTTAAATAGGTCCCACAACTTTTTCTTTGTTTTTTTCTTTCTTGCTTTCTTTTGGGGGGAGGGAGCAGATTATAGAGATCTGTCCGTGTTGAGAACTTATATAACAAAGACAGACACCAGTGTATTTCAGAAAAGATGCAGTTGTATAAAGCACTGTTTTTAAGAAGTTGCTGGTGCCCTTAAGGAATGGGCACCTAAGGGCATCTGTGTGGGAGAAGTTGGCCTTGTCTGCACCCCAGACGTCTGCTTCCTCCAGATACAGCTCTGGTTTCCTTTTATTTTAATTTTTTGACACATAAACTTGTGGCAGGCAGAAAGGGCAAGCTGTCCGCATTGCGGGAGGCTTCACTCTGGCAGAGCAGAGGGTAAATCACAGGGCAGGAGCTTCACCTCGGGGTTACCTTCAGAGCAGTGGCTGCTGCCGGGCTCTGAGTAGAAGCCCTTGAGGGCCAAACTCTGGTACCGCTTTCTCCGGTTCTGCTTATATATGCGGATCCTTTCTTTTTCTGCTTCGGGGTCAGAGAGAATCCCATCCCAGCGCAGACTTTCGTTGACTTGGTTTGAAAGTTTCTCTTTTACTGCGGCCAACTGGGGGAAACTCGTGGTGAAGGAGGGGGAAGGGATGTGCCTGTGACCGTCCTTGTCCTGTTGGGGCTCTGGCCTTGGGCCATGGTCTTTACTGGGACTTGGGCTGTCTTGCAAGGATGAAGAACACTGATTCTTCGGGGCTTGACTTTGATGTTTATCTGCTGAGAAAATGAGGGGGTTACTGCTGTGGCCATGCTTGCCCCTAGCCCACCGGGAATGATGCCCAAATCACCCGGATGGAAGGGGTTCAGACCTCCCAGGGTTCAGACCTCCCAGCCCCAGGCCTCATAGTTACCCACTGCCTGTGTGTTTTGGGTCAGGTCATTTGGGGCAGCAGAAGTGTCTTTTTCATTTTGTGGTGCTGGGGATTGAACCCAGGGCCCTGTGCAAGCTTAGCATGGCGCCACCACTGAGCCACACCCCCAGCCCAGGCCCTTCTGTTTGAGCACATAGCCTCAGCGGGCCACCTGGTTATCAGCCCTGCTCTCCAGGTAAGGAAACCGAGGCCCCTAGAGCTTCACTAACCGGCCCATGTCATGGAGCCAGGGGCAGAGCCAGCTTCACAGGCAGAGCTGGCTCCCAGAGCCCTGTTCCTCCCACTGCACCCCACTGCCCCCCATCCAACCTCAACACATGCTCATCAAGGTCTGGGGCTGCCAGTCTCCGACTGCCACCAGTCTAGACACTTGATGATGGAAGAACCAGAGAACAACTGAAAAGCTTCCTAAATTTGACTAGTGAAGGCAGTATTATGCCAAACCAGGAAACGTTTCTGCTGTGTGGCTGGTGCGTCTCTCCCTCCCTGCCCCCTCGTTTTTCCTCCTTCCTTCATTCCTTTCCATTAATAGCATTTCAGAATTTTATGGCATACACATAAAATATTACAAGTTGTGGCTCACCCAAAAACCCATCCCCTGAGGAGGAAACTCATACCTGGGAGGTGAAGGGGAAGAGAAAGAAAATAAAAGGGAACACAATCCTATCTGGACATTTCCTTACCTTCCTAGTCTCTGAAAATGATTTGGTGTCCCCTGCTGACAGGAAGAGGTATGTGCTACTGTAATTTCCACTGTCAAAAACTACACCAGTGCCTGTAACCCCAGCACTCTGGGAAACCGAGCCAGGAGGACTGCAAGTTCAAGCCCAGCCTCAGCAACTTAGTGATTTAGTGAAAACCTGGCTCGAAACAAAAATTAAAAAGGGTTCAGGATGTAGTTTTGGTTAGGAACCCCTGCTTTGTAGATATGTGTGTGTGTGTGTGTGTGTGTTTTGCTTGTTTGAGTGAGACAGGGTCTTACTTTGTAACGCTGTCTGGCCTTGAACTAACTCACTGTGCAGTTGAGAATGGTGATCCTCCTGTTCCAGCCTTCCAAGTGCTGGGATTACAGGCATGTGCCACCATGCCTGGATACAGTGAACTTTTTTGCCATGTGCTCTAGAACGTTTTAGGTTTTGCCTTTCTATTACGGTTTCACCGTACCTATTGAGCTCTTTCCTAAGGACTGCACCGACATGGGCAAGGCTGTTACCCCTTTAGCCTCCAACTCTGCAGAGTCTGGAAACTCGAGGCCAGGGCCAGCCACACTGAAGGTCAGAGCCACTTCCTTGACAGCCAAAGCCACTCGGGTAGGCCATACAAGTGACAATGGCCTCATAGCACTCATGGGCAACTGCATGCCATGTCCTCCCTGCACTCTCCTCTCAAAGTGGACACTCTGGTGTTCGTGAGGGAAATTTGGGAGTTGCAAGAAGAGCTTGAGATGAAGAGGCTCGGGGTTTGCAGCAGGTGTTGGTGTGTATAGATCTGCAGATGAGCACGAGACATGATGGAGTACCTGTGTGGGCATGACTATTATACAGGAACTTTGTGTGTTGGGGGGTTCTGTGCGTGTGTCTCACAGTTTCTGTACATGTGTGTAGCCTCTGAATGTGTGCACCCCAACTGGGCTTTGGTTCTGTTGGATGCTGTCATATGAATATGAGACAATGCTGTGAAGGGTGGCAGAGATTATCGGGATGTATCAGTGACTAGGGCATTGGAGTGCGCAGCCCAGGGTTGCCCCTTGGAGGATGGGTGGGTGGGGACTCCTTTGTGCAGGGAGGATTCTTTATAGGCATCTACTGAGGGGGGGGCATACACAGCATTCCACAGCAGGTGCCTTAACACGTGCAGGAGTGAGGCCGGCATCTCGGGGAGCATGGGTCTACATTTCTGTACATGATTGTCAGGCAGTGTCTGCGTCAAGGGAAATCTTTCTATGAGAGTGTTTCTCTCCAGGGATTGCAAGGAGGGTGTGGGTGTTTAGGGCTGTGCCTTTAGTTTGAGGGTCTAGGAAGCTGAGAGGGTGTGCCTGCAAAGTCAGGTCTGTACGGAGCCAGGAGGTGCTGGGGAGTGGGGTGTCTGTGGGGTGTCTGTGTGGGACTGAGAGATTTTGGACACTGTGCACTCTCAGTGAGTCTTGCCGGGTCTGTCAGGCCTGGAGGCCTGGAAGTCCTTGGAATGTACACGGGGCTCAAGGGGTCCTCATGCTCAAGACCAGGGGCTTTCTGTGGGCGGGACAGTGAGTGTGTGTTGGGGGCTGGGGGTCCCTGTCTGGCTGGGATTAGTGAGTTTCTGTTTCTGCTCTGAAGTGGTTTCCAGGTAGAGGGGCGTCTCTTGGAGGGTGTGCAGAGAGAGGAATCTCAGGCAGCGTGGCTGAAGCAGCCTCACCAGCTGCTCCTCTTACCGTCCCCCTTGGCTGACCCTTTGGTCTTTCTCTTCTTCTTTTTCTTCTTTGCCTTTCTTCTGGCTTGCTCTGAAGTGTCAATAGTGATGGGGGGCAGCCTAGACCCCAACAAGCCCGCTGCGCCGTCCTCTCTCTCCTCCTCGTCCTCCTCTCCCTCTTCGAGGTACCCCGCCGTCCCTGCCCCACAGCTGCGGTCCATCTGCGCGTAGGATCGCGACCCAGGACAGGGAATTGGAGGCTCCCGGGGCTCCCGCACAGGCTGCGGCCACGCATCTCCATGGCGACCGCTCTACACCGCGCGTGCGCCTCCCGAGGACCACGTTGTGCGCTTGCGTGTTCCGCCCTGGACCTGGGCTGTCTGCAGACCCGAGGGTGAGGGTGGGCAAGACTCTAAATCCTGGGGTTAACAGCGCTGGTCCACTCCTGTGCCTTCTGAAATGATATCCATTCTTACCTTTCTGTCTTGTGGCCACCCTGGACTGTAAAGCCAGCAAACTCAGCCCTCTCCGCTGAGGCTAAGGCTGGCCGCCAGGTCTGTCACTTGATCCTGGTCCCCCCTCTTAAAGGGTCTCTGCTTGCATACTCTTTTCTTCCTTTTTTTTTCCAGCCCATACTGAACTTGTAATTGCATACTCTTTTCACACCCTTCCGTCACATTCTTTATCCATACAGCCTCTAGAATGAATTTTTAAAGATAATTGGAAGCGTCCAGGAGCACCCATGCCCCTAGTTATTCTGGAGGCCGAGGCAAGGCGGTTTGTTTGGGGCAGCCAGGTTCAAGGCCAGCGAAGGCCATATAGGGAGACGGGGTTTCTTAGACAGAAAAGGTGGGGCAGGGAGGGGGCAGGGAGGGGGCAGAGAAGGAGAGAGGGGAAAATCAGAGGACAGAAAGAGAAAAAGAATAAATAAATTCACCCTCGCTTAAAACTTTCCAGGGATAAAACAAAACCAAACTTCCAGTGGTCCTTTGTGACAGTATTTATCAAAACTAACCGTATTTGTGTGGCCCAGAAGGCCAGGTATGCTCGCTTGCCTTTCCAGGTTTATCCATCGCAGATTATGTTATCTGGCAAGGGCTGCAATGCTGTTTCATTCCACAAACTCTAGATTCTAGACTCTCCTTATTCCGTAGCAATGTGTTTGCTGATTCCTGTGCTGGGACTGTCATAGTGTGTGGCCGAAGCCACCTTGTGCCTTTTTGTTTTTTAACTTTTTGTGTGCGGGGAGTAGAACTCAGGACCTCGCACTTGCCAGGCTGAAGCTATGCTGCTGAGCCATAGCCTCAGCGCACCCACCACGCACCATTTTCTCCCCACACATCGAAGTATGCCTTTTAGCAACTATTTTGTTTCATTTTCTGCTGGATCAACACCCCCCCCCTCGCCTTGCTGGACAAGTGCTCAGCCCCTAAGCTGCACCCTCAGCCCTTTAAGTTCCATCGCCCTGGTGACCAATGATATCGAGCAGGTTTTAATGCGTTTATTCATTTGAATCTCTTGGGTCATTAAATATCTTTTAAATTTTTGGCTGCTTTGTAATTAATTTCTTTTTTTTTTTTTTTTTTGGTACAGGGATCAAACTGACACATGTGCACTTGCTGGGTAGGAACAGTGCTGCTAAGATATATCCTCGGCCTTGAGTTCTTTATATTTTTGTTGATTTGTAAGAAATCTTCACATATTTAAGAGCTAAGTTCCCTGTCAGATTTATGGCTGTGAAGAGATTTTTCTCCAGATCTGTAGTTTATCTACTTAGCTTCTTCTCTTTTTTTGGTCTTTTTGAGACACGGTATCACTATGCAGTTCAGGCAGGCCTTGAGCTCACTTTGTAGCCCAGGCTGGTCTCTAACTTGCAATGATCCTCCTGCCTCAGCCTCTCAAGTGCTGGAATTACAGGCATGAAGCACCATGCCTGGCTTGTTTTTTGTATTTGTTTTTTTGAGACAGCATCATTATGTATTTTAGGCTGGTTTTGAACTTACTGTGTAGCACATGCTGGCTTTGTAGCAATCCTCCTGCCTCAGTTTCCCAAATGGTGGAATTTTAGGGTGCACCACCATGCCTGGCTATTCCAGCAATATTCTTTTTGAATATTGTTTTGACTGAAATGATCAAATACTTTGAAGAAAAAGAGACACTAAAGTACCCATTGCTGATTCTGGAGTGTCATAATGTGAAACCCAGCAATAGTATTATTCTTTATGCAGAGTGATATTAGCCTGCTTGGGTTTGTTCAATCTCAGCATAATTGAAGATATGGATAACTGCATGTATGTTTAAGTGTATAGGATTGATAACCATATTTCTAAGTTTTTGTTGGATAGTTGAACAGAACTGGTTGCAGTCTCACTGTTTGAATCCCCACTTTATATGCTCCACTTTAGAGTCTTGAATAACTATTTGTAAGAAGACAATCTTTGGGGGCTGGAGGTTTAGCTCAGCGGCATAAGCACCTGCCTTGCAAGCAGGCAGTCGTGAGTTCAATCCCTGGTACCGATAAAAAGGAAAAATACAAAAAAAAAGAGAAGACAATCTGTAATCATCAACTAGTGATTTCTTACTGCTTATTTTTTTCTTTGAAAGTCTGTATTATTTCTACCCATTTTCTGTTTTGCTTAGTCTTTCTTTAAATTAAATTTTTTTTTAAAAAGGCACTACAGTACCCAGTGCTGATCCCAGAGTGTCATGATGTGCAATCCAGCAATACTATTATTCTTTGTTCAGAATGATTTTAACCTGCTTTAGTTTGTTTAATCTAAACATAAATGAAGATATGGATAACTGCATGTATGTTTAAGTGTATAGGATTGACAACCATGTTACTAAGTTTTTGTTAGACAGTCGAACAAGACTGGTTGCAATCTGGCGGTTTGAATTCCTACTTTATATGTTCCACTTTTGTATCTTGAACAACTGTCGTGAGTGTCTAGAGCACTCTGAACTCCGGGCAAGGTAAACACGCACGCCTTGTCGGGACACGGGGGGTACAGCGCTTGGAAAAGAAAGACAGGAGAGACACCTTTGCTGTCTGCACCGCGTTACACTGCACTGCACTGCACTGTACGCACAATCTTTATTTTAGGATTCATATATAGTAAACCCGATCAATTCACAGAGCCCAGATAATTAAGTAGTGAAAAGGCATTCTTTGTGGCAAGCTACAACGTGACAGACTACAATGTTTATTCTAAAACTATCTAAGTGAAGTAAATAATCACAACCAGTTCTCACAACTTCTCTAGCCCAGGAAGAAATTCATTAGCTCAAGAATGTTGTTAATTTGTCTGCTGTTAGTGTCACAAAGGGTGGCCAGCCACTTCCTCAAGACTTCTGCAAAACAAAGCCAGCTCACAGTATGGATTCCAGAGGGTGAGGGCTCACTGAGAACGGGCATTCCCGTTCTACCTCCTTCTCGCATACCAGGGCGGCTATTGTAAATTGCAGGTTAGAGGGGGTTGGGCCTACAAAGTGACACCTCATCCCCCACACTTCCTTCCTTTTTATTTTTTAACAACAATTTCCATAAGATCAGGTTATTAATAGCATTTCGTCTTATGCAGTAAAAATACACAAGAACTATGGCAATGAGAACTATAATTAAACTAAGTCCCATGCCACTAAAAGTGTGGGTAATGCTCTGCCAGATTCCTTTGGAATCTAATCCTTTCAAAGATTGAGCAAGCAATTGCGCGAATTGTGCTAGAGATTCATCATCATTTTGCTTTGCAAAATCCTTGTCAATTTGATTATGCAAAGATTCTATTTCCTCCTGGGCAGAGGTGTTTCCATTTAAATACATTCTAATCATTTCCCATTCATGTTCTGTCTGATTATAAGGTCGTTGGGTTATACAGAAAGTAGTTGAATTCCAATCACATTTTAAAAACACTTGATGCTGAAGAGCCAATATTTTTCTACCCATCCATTCAACTGTTTGTTTAAGGAGGTCTATTTGTTGTTGTAGTCTGGCGTTTATCTGCCACTGAGTTAACCAAAGTTCATGAGAATTCTCATGCCATAATTCGACAACATGTTTTTCTTGCAAAGAGGTTTGTAAAGCTACTCCTGAGACTGCTGCTAGAGAGGCTACAGTTATCAGACTTAACAGTACAGCAACCACTATTCCAATAAATCTTTTTGTACGTTTTAACAGATGTTTAAAAAATTCAGTAGTAACAGAAATTACCGGGTCTTGAGACCAAGGTCGAGTTAAATTTACAGGCAACCAAATATGAGTTTTTTGTTGTAACAGCATAACTGTATAAGGCTTAGTGAAATTTAGTGTGTTATTTAAGCATGTAAACAATTGACAATTTAAACAAGTACAAGAAAAATGTGTAAAATTAAAAGTTCCCACTAAAAAGACATAAGGCAGAGGTGCACAAACAGTAATATTATACATTTTAAACCTAGTAAAATTATAAGTAGTAGATACAGATCGACTAGTCCCTGAATATGAAACATTGTACAAGGTTACAGGTTGCATAGCGGCTGGGATCTTCCAAATATGATTTTGAAGGTGATGAGGGTATTCTTCGGCTGCAACAGCAGGGTTAGCGATTCCACCATCTCCCCACCACAAGAGAGCCGTCTTTTGTTGAAATATAGGAGCTCCGTCAGTTATTTTCTTTGGATCTGGAAGACTATACACAACAGAGAGATTACATCTTGTCTCATTCCATTCAGCACATCCATTAACGAATTTTCCAAATGGTCCCCAAATAATATACCCATCAATATTTTTAGCAAATTTTCCCATACATAGTTGCCAAATTATGGGATTATAAGAAATATTTTTATAAGTAAATTCAGGGCATACAGGAAATGTATTTGTATCAGGTGCTGTTAAATTTCTCCAGGTAACATTAAAGGTTTGAGCAGCCAAGGCTTGAAGCCTTGTCCTTTTGTTGCCTGCTTTTATTCCATGTTGAATCCAATACTGCCATCCCAGAGGGATGCAAGGCGGTTCCCCAATGCAAATAGGCCTTTGATTACCATAATAAGTAAAATTGAATAGTGTCCCATCATCTTGATTGTGGGGGGTTAAATCAGCCCACGGTGCTGACAAAATTTCTCTAGGTGTGGTATAAAGTAAAATATCACTAGTTCCCCATTTTACAGGTTCTAATAAAGGGGGGTTTGGAATATATGCCCAGTACGAATGCGGAGGTACCTCAGTCCCCGATGCAACGGTGAGCAAGGCACATAAAGCTAAAAACAAGTTTTCAGGGTTTAAAGGCTTTCCTGCTTGAAGGACAAGCCGTTGCCCTTCTATGGTCAATTTCTTTAATTGTCCCCATGTAGGGAGGGGATTTAAATTTGGTCGCTGTGAGCGGCGGGATTTTCTTAGCTGTAATCTGGCCATGGCTGCGATAGGAACAAACTCAGCATCCTCAGCTTCTAGCTGGTTTCG